ATCATGCTTCATCAATTTTCAAGGGGGAAAGTCCAAATTGTAGAAGATAACTGATCTTCAGCAAGTTAATTTCATCCAAGAGACATAAGTAGGATTTTTCTCACTGAAGGATTTTCCACTCGTCACGATAACCAGTGTCAATATCGCTTGCTGTGAGTGGTGACCAATTGGTTAGCCTTGTTCGTTTTCCTAGGTCAGATTGCTTGACATGGTATCAAAACGAGTGTTATGAATGAGTATGCTGTCCTAGGCTTGCGTCACTCTCCTCGTCGTCTAGTGACTGGTCGTACTGAGTTTGCTCACATCAGAACAATCAAGAACCAGTGTCACAGTACTCATACCTCATAGTACAGTACTGTACTCTTTAGTGTATTGTACTGTACTGGTATGGGTTACTCGATGACTGTAGTGTACAGTACAAGTTTACAACTCGTCAACGGTACCGGTGTGGCGGTGTGTGAGTTTTATGCTTCCGCATTCGTACCGTACCGTACCGCGCCGGGCCGCCGATAGCTGAATTCCAACGACTGGCGCCTTGTGTCATCCTAACATTCAACGTCATTCAGTACAGTACACAGTCAAAAGTCAAGAAGATGAGCATTAGGCCTGACCTACAGTACAAATGGCAAGTAAAAAATACTGGTCAAAAGTCAAGAAGATGAGCAATAGGCCTGACCTACAGTACAGTGCAATTGGCAAGTAAAACATGCAAGTACAGTACAGTAAGCACAATTGGCAAGTAAAAAATGCAAGTAAAAAGTCAAGAAGATGAGCAATAGCCCTGACCTACAGTACAATACTGTACAATATGGCCAGATCAGATGCTGACATGTTGTACTGTACCGTACTGTACTGGTAGTACAGTGTACAGTTTACAGTACTTGACCCAATTGATTGACTGTAGAGACTAGAGACGGTAGAGGTCGTCACACTGTACAGTACAGTGTACAGTAGTCTGCAGTACTGTACATACTGTACTGTACAGTACAGTACAGTAGCCTGCAAAACTTACTGTTGTACTACTAGTACACTAATAAGGCAACAAAACTGTTAACGCTCTCCAAGCTAACTAGAAAAAATGTCCTCTTTAGCCGAGCTGCAAAGCAATTTATCTACCTATCAGGCACAATTACAACAGGTAAATAATATCCTTTCAGTGACAAGCCCTATCCCTAGTATACTAATTGATTGAAATCGATATGCAAAGTAAACTCTTGTATATCTATTGATGCGTATATTGGATATATGTAGGTAGAAGCTGCCTTGAAAGCTGATGAAGGTAATGAAGAATTGATGAAACTTCAACACGACTTAAATGTGAGTACGATAGACAAGCCATTATAGCCATCGAAATACGTAGAATATTGCCATGGTGTACCATCACAACCCAAAATAAAATTGCCATTTCTAAACTGATACCGATAGTTTATAATTAAAAATTGACCGATGTATTAAACTGATCGTCTCAATCAATCTGCAATCAACGATCATCACATTCATTCAACATTTCTAGTAGTATGTTGATCATTGAATATCTTAAAATTTCTACCTTGGACATGAATTGTAAAATCATATTACTCCATTCATTACTATAAATGCAATAAATTAACTTGGACCTGCATGTTGTTTTAACTTTGACATGTTCACTTTTAGGAAGTCATAAATTTAACAGTTGATTTGATTAAATTGAACACCAAAGGAGAGGTAAGTACTCATGTAGACAAGTATATTTGTAAATTTTGTAGGATTGTATCATTCATTGAAATCCTCAAGTTCCAAATTTCCAATGAAAGGTCCCTATCACGGTAGCTAACTTTAATCACTTTCTATAGACAAAGGCTGATGCTGTTGTAGGGACATCGTGGAAAGTTGGTGATAAATGTCAGGCTGTCTGGAGTAATGACGGATTGTACGTAAATTAGCATGGTCTACGGTATCATTTTTAATTATACGTATGCTACCATGAAAGATACTGTACGGTAGTAGCAAAGTTATTCCATACTCTGTTGCTGAATTTCATTATACTGTACATTTATGTAAAATGATAGCAATTCAAAGAATAATACGTATAAATGTACATATATATGGCAGATATTATGACGCAGATATCATTGAAATATCGGAAAATCAATCGACTTGCGTTGTTACCTTTACTGAGTATGGAAACACTGAAACGGTTAAGGTAAGTCAGTACTAGCTCTATAATAGAAAATGGACTCGATACCATCTTTTGATGCGGATGATTGTATACATACATTGACGCTTTGATTATTGAGCATAACAGTCCTACATTGATTCATTGTAGTTAAACTCGCTTAGACACGAATCAGAGGGCGTAAAAAGACCGATATCTGACGTACTTAGTGAAACCAAACCTGAAAGCAGCAGGTACCATCGATTTACAAAAAGCAATGCTAAAATCTTATTAATCAGTACAGCGTAATTGATCGTCTATAAGGAAAAACTTAAATGCTTTAACCAACCCAAATTTTTTGCCAGAGCTAAAAAAGAAAAATTTAAGGATTACAAGCGCAAGAAGGCTTTAAAAAAGCAACAAAAACTTAAGGTAAAACTATATTGAATATTCTATTTGTTAATGTAGACTTGGATGAAGGTAGCACTTGCAAACATTGCAGCAGTACTCGTAATCGAACCACTTGTTATAGTTTACTCATTTCTGTATCCATATGTAAAAATATAGGACTTAGAAAAAGAGAGAGAGACAGAAAAGAGTAAATGGCAGCAATTCAGTAATAAGGTAATTACATATATTGTATCCGTACAGTATATGCTTATGTTCTATAAGATTTCAGTTGTGGCTCGGTCCTTTTTTAAAACTTGATTCATGGTTTAATAATCTTGCATATCAAAAACTTTTTGTAGGGCTCCAAAAAGGGTCTATTGAAGAGAAGTATTTTTGCATCCCCGGATAGTGTAACTGGGAAGGTACGCTGATCTATAACTGAATATTTTCATCTTAATTTTCGCTATATTAAACACTGATGTAAAATTTAGGTCGGAGTTGGAACATGTGGTATTAGTGGCCAACCAATGACTACATACAATGTCCCTCATATTTATAAGAAATAAATATCTTTATTTCACATGCCTTTTTATATTTTTCTGTATTGGTATTCAATCCTTAACGATTAACCACCAATGAAGACTGTATTGTCAATATTGTATTATATTAGCTACGAAATATTAGTTAAATGATATAATATTACTATGCCATACAATTATATCGTCTACTAAAGGTAGACGTGCATAATTTTCTATCCAAGTCGTTTCATTTCATGTAGATACGATGCCGCGATGAGGAATTTCTCAAGATCTATGCTATTTGTTAGCGAGACACAACTTACGGTACGTTGCACAGAAATGTGCTCAAAAATATATAATTATCATCGACAAGTCTCTTAGTACTGTATTTATTGTTCATCGGTGTGCAATTATCTTGTTGCGTGATGTAAATTTCGTGTAAACTATGGGTACAGTGGAAGTATACTTGCTTTCTTCGCGCAATCAATCAGAACTATAAATTATCCCTGTTAGAAATTTTTCACATTTGCAGATTTGTTAATAAAGTTATCTTAAGAAGAAAGTATAGCGTCCACTTTATCTCGAATATTATCGATAAGTCAATTAATTAGACGATTGTAAAAATTTTAAAATCTGGCCTAGCTTGCGGCTTAACGCGAGATTCCACGGTCTACGAAAATGAAATACTATATTTTCATTAAATTAAATTATTAACCATTTTGCGACAGAACATCTTATGCTGACATGAGCTCATTTAATAAGATCATAGCAAGAGTTTGAATTGGACTATTATAGAAATTTGGGCACTTACAAATACGATTGTGGTGATCAAGACGTTATATAAATCCCTAAACATCAGGGTAATTTAAATTTTGAATATTAAATAATGTCGCTATAAAAACGAATACCTTAAAGTAAGAAGCGACTTTGCCCTTACGATGGCTGCCGCTTTTCCGAGCCTTTATTAGAAAACAAATTTGACAATAAAATTAGAGTTATACGCCACATCGACGCGTATTTCGCTTTTAATCCGGCGTTAATGAAAAGCTATCCATGTACGATTGGTTTAGCTAATAGTTGAATCTACTTTTTCTGATTGAAAGAATGCAGCCATTAATGAAGTTCAAAATAACAAGGTTACCTTAAACAGAAACTAAATATTCCTTGGACATAAAAAATGTCAAATGACATGCATTTCTTGATAGCGGTACTGAAGATTTACAAAAGGACCAGGAAATGTATCTCAACGTAAATATTAGGGTTAGGGTTGCGATTCTAAGAATAATCGATAATTACAATCTACGTTGACATCAATTCACGATGTAGTAATCATTAAACATAGACAAGCGACAACCCATAATATTTAGTACTTTTTATTTCATATTGCTAATTTGATAAATGAACACATTAGCATATCGAATATCGTCGTAGTAATAGAAGACGCGTCAAAACACAATAGTACGATCGTTAGAGCAAATTACAACAGCCCCATTACAGCTTGTTAAATGCTGCGACATCAACACTTTGGACCTAAATCGTATGAGAGTAAGAATAATTCAGAATGATCATGAGAATAATTTCTGATTTACTGATGACAGGCCTTTACTGTATAATACATAATACAAGGAATATAAAGACAGCTAGAACTTTCATATCTATACAGTAGTAATCTATAAAGAAATGTATTGTAATTACCAAGTCTTCAAATTCTACTATCTTTTCTTCCAAGAAGTCTGTGCCAACTTTATCATCTTCCACAACACAAGAGATTTGTAGCTTCTTTATACCGTAACCAACTGCTACTAATTTCGCTATTTAAAAGGTGACAATAAAATAAATTGAAGTTATTGCTAAATTATACGGTATCAATTAGTTAGCAATCTAGTAAAGTCTACCTGGTCCCCATAGAAGACCATCCGATTCAATTGTTCTTACTAGTCTTTCCATTTCAGCCATGTCTAATTTAATAATATCAATTTAATTTTTAAGATTTAATTTAAACACATAACTACTGTACGCTGATAGTTATCACTAAGTAAATAAATGATAGGTGATGGTAATAATGCCATACCAGTTTCATCGTCCCACTTTCAAGGTTGTAGCGTCAAGAAGAAATAGAACAGCTTTTTAGGCTTAATAATTTCGTTAAGTTACTATACAAAATACGTGCGTATAACGTAGTAGTCATACCGGTTTTACATCAAGGATGATATTGGATTTTGCTATTACAGGATTTTCTAAAAACATAGATATGAAGAAAATGCTTAAATATCGTGAAAACTCGTACGTTTAAATCTTAACACATCTTATAAAATCAAAAACGATGTGAATCTTTTACAACAGCAGCATATAGCAAGAACATACTCTTAGCTTTGCGCTTCTCATATTCAGCTATTCTTTCTGCCTTTACATCTTCCGCTTCATCTGCCTATAATTCAAAAAATACAACTATGTCACTAAATAATGTAATGCTGACAATGATAGCATTTAGTTATCATTTACATCATCGTCACTGCCGAAAAGATCGAAGTCGTCGTCATCTTCAGCGTCTTCTTTGTCCTCTTCCTGATATTGGTCATCGATGGAATGAAAGCGATAGCAATAAAATAGGATTAACAGTTATGCGGATATGTCGGAAAATAAGTCACTAAAAGGGTTAGATTGCAGTTCTTATCTTCGATATTAAAGCTATTTGCCTAAACTTGATACCTGGCTATTAACCTGCGTTGCCGTTGCATCTTTCTTATCATCTAATTCAAGTGTCTTAATTCTTGCTTCAAGCTTTGCAACTGCTTTCTCCAAACTAGTTGTCGCTAAAAACAAGAACGATCGTTATGTAATCATGTCTATCTATGCCACTTTATATTATTATTTGTCGTACAATGTGGGTTTATCCATAATTAAATTTTGCAAGATAGATAAACTACGAGTACATGCAATTACAGTATATAATACTAAAGCTGTACAATACAGCTAGACTCTGGTAAAATACTTATTTATGCGATAAGATATAGCGTACACTAGTAGAACAAACATCAATACAATATGCGCACCATCATACTGAAAGTTACCTTTCCTTAAATTTTGGTTTTCCAACTCTAGAGAATTTACACGTTCAATCAATTTGGATGTCATCTATAAGTGTATTCAAAGTACGGTATAATGCGTAAGATTGGTACAAAAATAGCAACAACCTATTAAGATTGATTATTTTCTATCTTTAATTTATTAATTAAACCATATAATCATCTACAGTATATTTAACGTTGAACAAACTGTAGTAAAGAGTAAGCATGTAAAGCGTGTACTGTACACTAGTAATTATACAGTACTGTATACTGTATATAAGCAAGCGTATGATCAACCGACAATCGATCCGATCTTAGCCGTTGCAATAGGTATTCTTCATATTTAGACTGTTACGATTGCAACAGCGATAAATAATTGGAATATAAATACATGTCAAGAATGGTCGGTTATGATGGTACAGAAAAATAGATTCTACAGGTGTTGTACCATCAACCAATCCTATGGTAAATTATAAGTTATAATTATTAACGCCAACGTACGCGTATCTCTGTGATATATACATGGATTGGCATCCCATTCATACGCGTAATTATACTGTAGACTCTACAATTCAATTTGTAGATTCATACACTGATAATTAATCTATACGTCAAAACATCAATATAGACGTACACATAAATTACTTCTAGTTCCGTCAATGTACTCATAATCGCTGCACTATCATTGAAACATGGATATCTTACGAAGTCATTCATAAGTAATACTATCATTCCAATCACAGTATCTCTATGCTCTCTATACCTCTTCTTCTTCTGATATGATTTCTTCTGCTGAAATTTGGCGGCCCTGGAGTAGGTATGAAAATGGAACAGTATTACAGTGTGCATAATTTAAAATGATTGATCTAGATCATCACTGTTCACCCTATCTAGACCGAGATTATTACACTAGTCATGTATTTCGACGAAAGATCATTTCCTGTACAGTACTATCATTCTATCTGTGACTTGATCAAAATTAGTAGACCTTGCATAAGCGTCCATCATACCTTTACAACCAAACCCGAGTGTCGATGAGCGATACTGATTTGATATTTTGACTCGGCTTCTTCGTATCTGAATTTATCAAGCCAGACAGTCTCGTGGATAAGAGCAGCAGTCATCAAATGTTCGCTAAGTGTCACTTAGATCGAAGTAGAAAAATAGGAAGCAATAAATTATGCAGGGAATGGTTGAGGACTTGCCAAGTGCACAGGCCAAGGTGACGAAGAAATTGGTTACCACACCGCGTTCACGTTCTATGGCTACAGTGTACAGTATAGTACAGTACTGTATATGTACTGTACACTGTACAGTATAGTACTGTACTGTACGCACTAGCAGTGTACTATATGGAACATGGATTAGCAGCACTATTTTTTGACCTAACAGCGTGCCGTTGATAGCCTATAATTACCGTACAAAAAGTAAAAGCACGTGTACACAGCGGGCTACGGAACGAAGGACAGACTTGATTCGCCTCAAGCTGATACAGTCTACAATTCTCAGTACTGTACAAACTGTAAACGAATCGCTACCTGTACAGTGTACAGGTCTGTAGCAAAAATAATGTCGCTCTTAAAAGAACCACTTAAGTAATGTCTTTACTAACAAATCAAGTCTCATTGGGTGACATTATTTTTGGTATAGACTGGAATACTACAGTACCCACTATACAGTGTATAGTGGACGGTGCAACAGTGGCTGTGGTAGTGATTCGACCCTCCGTACCGTACAATGTACTGCACATGGTTGAACTTGACGACTGGAGTGTGTACTGTACGGTTAACGCTGCGATAGGTCGTGCACTTTGAACCCATCCATCGATCACTACAAGGTGTAAGTAATTCCACTATCCACTACCCTATCATTCAGCCTTTTTCATCCGTCGTTTGGTCAGAATGGCTTATTCGTCGATTCAATTAGCTAATAGTAAATTATCACCCCGAATTCTTCGTTATGGAAGTTATGCTAAGGTAAAGTAATATTATTGTGTCAGAACTGGTTTACCTTTCTTGTTTATTTACACTTGCAGTCCAGTGGATGAATTACATTTGAATAGATCGAATTGATTGATAAATCATATCATTGCAGTATTGCACACGGTTGATCTCCACGATAGATCATCGCCTTTGTCAATGATCAGTCAGTAGTTGATTATTTTTACTATACTCAAGTGGTAGATCTATCCAACTGGTGGAATGGCTATGAAAAGAGCGCGCTAGATTAAAGTTGATTTCAATCGATCATCAGCAGTTAATAACGTTAGTGGTTGTTATCTAATCTTGACATGTCGTTATAACAATGGATATCGTAGCTACTATTGAGGCCGCGATTACCTTAATCCCTTTATCAACCATGACCCTTTTCAATCTTAGCCTATAATTTCACAATGCTATTTCCGTTAATGTAGACATTCTTAGTTCGATATTCACTTAAAATCAGGCTATTACCTTTAAAATATTCTGAATGATTAATGATGATAACATACCAACGTGCGAATATGTTGATCGCATACAATCTCAATGGATATTACTCTCATACTTGCAAGTGCTGTAGTACAAGTAGCTGAGTAAATAGAAAACAAATCCACTACTAGCAACACATAATATTCCTGTATTGAGTAATATCCTACGCTTAATAAAGTATTAAAATGCTAAAGCCCAAACGTATTGTAAAAATTGATGATCAAGCAGTTAACGCGCGCTACAGAGACGATACAGTGGACTTTAGTTCCTATTGTATACCTCCACGTTGATGGATCAAAGGTATATGATTAAAATCCAATACCCAATTATCGAATGATAATAACATGCAATATACAAACGAATCAAGGTATAGATCCCTACTGATCATCAATAATAACGTAATAAAACTAGAGATAATTGATTGTATAAATCATTAATCACTTCATGATTATTCAATTAAGTTAAATCAACTAAAGTAATATTCTCACAATGACCTTCTACCGATACCTGCAATATCGTTTTTTAAACAGAACTGTATGTTATGAATGTGAACATAGAGTATTGGTACGTCAATAACCATGCTGTACTGTACTCTACTCTACACGATGTCGTCATAGTAATCACCAATGTATTTACTGCTGGTTAAAGCTAAAGTTAGCCGCGGTAGTCACTAAATTGCTGTAAATATCTTAATTTCAATATCACAACCTAAACTACAATAAGATTAAATTTAAGGTAAAAATAGCTCAGGTAGCAAATTTAACTCATAATGTTAACCTTTTAAGCCTTCAAGATTGTAACAGATTATCATTTATTGTACATAGGAGTCCGCGGCACTCATTATTTCACCCAAGTTGCGAAAATCCTACGCAAGGTATAGTACAGTATTCCTCTATACATACATGTATATATACTGGACCCGTTTAAACTCATATATAATTTAATTGTATCAATATAGAAACCAATACTCACTCTATGTATAAATGTTATTCATTTATTTAACTAGATATGCTAGTCAAGAGATTTATTACCATTAAAATTATAATTTATAATAATAGCAACAACAGAAATTTTCGTTGAGACATCTTTCTTGTATTGCTACTATTATTATTGTTTTATTAGTAAAATGAACGGTCAATTTTGACAACATCAATGCCTCGTATTCTACCCATAGAGTTATAATTTATTAATGTATGATATTAATGACTAATTATCGGTGCCGTAGATTAGAAGTAATGCAGTCAATCTAGATCCCTGGTCGTTATTAGCTATGATTTTTCACTAAAGTTACGCAAAGTTAATGTATTGATAGCTTTTTCTAAAAGTCAAGAATTGATATTTTCGTAAAATTATCTAGTGCCGCCATTGATAAGGAACTTGACGATGGTTACCTTCATCATAGCGTCGTTCCAACTATGCACTATCAACCAAGTCTGCCGAGATTACCAATCCCATCACTAGAAAAGACTTGCATGAGGTATTTAAACGGTGTTCAACCATTGCTCTCCGCAAAAGAGTTCGAACAAACAAGTAGAATAGTTAAAGACTTTGAAGAAAATGAGGGCAAAGGTAAAACATGCGTTAGAACGACAATAGCTGATATAAAATAGATTAGCAAATTATATTTACAACACAGTATTTCTAGTTGTAAGTTAACTCGTAATGTAATACATTTATTCCAGCCTTACACAAAGAATTGGTTGAAAATGATAAAAAAAACAAGCACACCAGCTATATTGCAAGTAAATAATAGCTTAAAAACTTATATCATTTATATGATATCATCATTTAAATAATGTGAGAATCATTTACCTTTTATAACAGAGCCGTGGATGGATATGTATTTGTCGGATCGAACAGCTATTCCTATCAATTATAATCCGGGTCTAATATTTTTGAATAAAAATCCACAAATTACAGACCAGGTAAAAATTTTTATTGATCTTACCTTCTGTTGGTTTCGAGATGTCTGTTAATATAAATTTTATAGACCTGTACGTATTTCTTTGGCTTACGCAAAATGTAGTACGGACACAGTGACTAAGAATGCTGTTATTTATAAATAAATATATAGACTTATTTGTAAAAACTTATAATTATTTTTCTTGTATGTTGCAATCAGGCACTACGAGCCACTGGAATAATTTACTCTAGCCTCAGATTTATGCGATCATTGGAAACTAATAAATTGACCCCTGACATCTTTCACCTTAACCCAAAGAATAGTGATACCAAATGGTTTCATAATTTAGTGAGGTCTGATGAATGCTAATGATGCTTTATTTGATAGCTCCTAGTAATCGATATAGTATTACTTCGACATTCTAATATTTACATTTTATGTTAAACGATAACTTACTATGTAACATAGATTTAAAATCGAATAAAATATTCCATATTAAATACGAAACCTTTGTCTATGATTATATATATTTTATATCACCTAATTTGTACATGTACCATTTTTTTTACGTTGGGCATTATTGTAGACTTACTCCTAGCAACTATTCTTGGTATGCTGCCTATTTAGCTAATGCCTATCCGTTGGATATGAGTCAGTATAAGAACTTGTTTAAATCAACGCGTATTCCTAAGCTTAACATGGACTATAATCAAGCATTTCCTGATTCTAATCATATACTGGTGATGAAAAATGGTCGTTTTTATACGTTTAATGTTATTGATCCTATTGATGGTATGTATACAGGTTGCATAACTTAGCAATATTGCATAAATGTGCTCGTCGTTTACTGCATTCTATAACGAGAACTGCTATTTTAACGGTTCTAAGGTTCTCCGCTACCTCCCGCATATATTTACGCACAACTACGTAATATTGCCGAGAGCGAGTCTTCACCTCCTGAGTTTCCTATTAATTTCTTAACAACCGAAAATCGTGATACCTGGGCTAATCTTAGAGAAGAATTAGAAGCTGATGAATTAAATGCCGAATCTTTAAAAGCAATTGACAGTGCCATATTGGCACTGTGTTTAGATGATGTTGGACATGATGACCCTGCTAAAGCTATGTTACAAGTATTACACGGAAACGGATATAATAGGTATAGAACTACAATTATATATTATATTATAGACTTTTAAATATTTTTACACGATGATATATGTCCAAAACTGACATGTTTTCTTTAACTTAGATGGTTTGATAAATCGTTTCAAATAATAGTCAATAAGAAAGGTGAGGGTGCGATGAATTTTGAACATGCTTGGGGTGATGGAGTGGCAGTAATGCGTTATGTAATAGACATGATCGATGACAGTAGTAAGAATTTAATTACTAAAGGTAAGAATTTCGGTACTGTTATAAGATCTCCGTAAATGGAGTGCTCACAATAAAAGTCTATAGGAATCGCATAATCTCTTTATATTGTTTAGAATCCGTCTCGAGCAATGTTGATATTGAAAGTCAGACCAAGGAGCTACAATTTAACTTGAGCGAAAATTTAAAATCTAGTATAAATGTAGCCAAGGAAAATTTTGTCGCTCTCAGTAATACACTAGAATCTCAAGTCGTACAATATGAAAAAATGAATAAGAATTACATAAAAGAAAAAAGATTGAGTCCGGATTCAGTTATGCAGCTTGCATTACAGGCATGCCACTCTTGAATTCAAAATTTTTTTAATTTATATACCTTACAATTGTTCTTTATTGAATGAAGATAAATTATTTATTCAATCAGCTCGCCTACTATAGAATGACAGGTCAAATTCCAACTGTTTATGAATCATGCAGTACTGCTGCTTTCAAGCACGGTCGAACTGAATGCCTAAGGTCTGTATCGATGTTAACAAAAGCATGCTGTGAAGCTTTTGGTAGGAATAATCCAGCTACTGCATCCGAGATAAGAGAGCTTATGGGAAAGTGTTCCGATTATCATGGAAAACTGACAAGAGAAGCATCTATGGGCAAGTCTATATTTACGATATTGCTGTAGCCAAATATGAATATATTTTCTTTTGAACGATATTTTCTTGTTTTATAGGTCAAGGATTTGATCGCCATCTGTTTGCATTAAGAGTTTTAGCCGCATCAAGCTTAAATAAATTGCCCGATATCTTCTTGGATCCTACTTTTAGCAAGGCTTCACACTTTACCTTATCAACGAGCACTTTAGGAACTGAGTACATTACCAACGGTGGTTTCGGCCCTGTAGTTAAAGATGGTCTTGGGCTGCCCTATATGGTCCTTAATGACTTTGTTGGGGTGACAATAACTAGCTATGAACCAAAAGGACGTGCTCAAGCTTTCGCAGATAGTGTCAAAAGAAGTTTAGATGACATTTACGATGTTCTAAATGGTAAAAATTTCAAGTCTAACTGAATGTAACAATTCATAGAGCTAAAGTGCTAATATTACTGAAGACTTTCTTTCTCTATAAACAAGTAATTAGTTTATGTTAAGATACGTAAGTTATTGATATTTTGGATACAGTACAGTGCAGCTATGATAAAATTGCATAAATGTCATCAATATTTAGCGTACATATTTTTTATCGGTTGAAAATTATTAGACGGTTTAACGTTAAATCTACACCAAACTGTGTTAATGTACTTAAATGTACGGGCATACATTCGTGCAATTTCATTCTTTTCACGAATATTTGTACTGTAATGGCTTAATCTGTTCGTGATTGGGCTCGATTCTCTTCGATTGCGAATGTGGTTATAATATTGCGATATTAGTAAGGAATATTAGTAAAGCAAATTGATTAAAGAGATTCCTCTGATTCGACTATTGTGCTCACTCATATTAATTGTAAGACAGAAAATGGAACAATAAATGTGCGAGTTGCGAGTAAGTTGATTTATTCCTTAATGGTCACACCATGGCATAGTACAAAGAATTTCCTTTATCATAATTATTACCACCCTTAGTTCCAGCATACGAATATAAATAAATACTGGTTAAGACCGGAAATTTTATTTCTTAAATAGTATTTCGATAGTATCTACTATTGTTCTGTATGCGTATAGACTCTCAGATCATCTATAGTGCTAAAAAAATCGTTGGTATATGATTATATATCTGCATACCTAGCTATCCCTATGGTCCAACTCGAAGTATAATCTGATACGTAGAATATAGTGTATTCTTATATTGCAAAGAGGTACAGTGCATCTAAAATAGCTTACTTGTGATTACATAAGGAGTTTCATTCTTACCTTGTTATTGATATTTAAAAGTTAGGAGAGCACTTATAATAAAGAGTTTGTTGCTAAACTTGATCATTTTGCGCACCTTTAAGCAAGATACAGACAGGATGGCTCTCTAAGCTCCAGCCATAATCAGTCGCTACTTTAACCCAGACTACGATATATCTGCCCGCTGGTACATTATTAATCAGACAGTCTGTAGTATTACAATTATAGGTATTCTTATAATGGGATGATTTGTGATTGATATGGCAGGTATTGCTACTAGTTTCAGCGTAATTAATCTGATAAAAATGAAGATTAGATTTCCCGATGTATCCAGATTTAAACTTAATACGAAATCCAGTGTTGGTAATATTAGTGATGGCAATATTAGTGACAGGCTCAGGCACATCTAACAGTAGTTAAAAAATAAAATCCACATTAAAATAGATCATATCTCTTCATCGTCTCTTTATAGTTGTTTATAATAATCTAAATAAAACAATGATAAAGTAGAATTGTCGATACTTCAGAATCTAATGAGATTTACGATACTAGCATAATTCATTAATAGTATTATTTTCAATTGGCTATGGCAGACTGCCATCTTAAAATCTCACCGGCAACAACAATGGAAATATCTTTAGTCAGTTTTCCATATTCATTTCTGGCAGTACATGAGCAGATTCCAGTCTGTCTTAAGGATAGAGATTGTAATTCTATTATATTATTCTTGTATTCGAAGCGACCACGTTCATTTATGCATGTCCAAGTAATAGTTGGCAATGGTACTGCAGTAGCTTTGCATGTTAAAGTAATACTTAGACCTGCAACTACTTCTAGGTGTGTTATTTCATTTTTCTTAGGTATTATAACCATGTCAATCGGTGGGCTTATAACCATGTCAATCGGTGGGCCTATATCAATTATAAGAGAATACCAATTGATCAGTGATATAATATTAACAGGTATAAATTGCAACAGATACTAATCTCTTGAGTAAAAGTTAATAGTCACGAAACAGGATTGGGATTAAGTAGTGAATTAAATTTTAAAAACTTTAACAAGTATGATTATGTTACGAATAGTCTAGACGTATAAAGAATATTAAAATTATTTGACACGACTATAGCATAGTCTTTAATAAGATGGGGATTAAAAAAGAATGAACTGTTTAAAAGTTTTATCAGGAATTATATTAAAAATACAGGGAATAGTTAGTCAGCTATTTGATGCGATAACCCAATCATAGCGTAGTCAGAAAAAGGAAAGGGATTAGATGACGAATTAATCTTGAATGACTTCAATAAAAATTATAGTAAGAATACAAGGAATATCCAATAAACTATTTAACGTGATTATGCATGCACGAGGAGACCTAAATGAGCTTCGGTGCATTAAAATAATTTTTTAAAGATTTTTTATAAATATAGCAAACAGGAACACTACTTATACATAATTAGTTTACTCTCAATTTTGATATTATAACTCCTATATTACCGTGAACTTGGATAAAAAGGTTTTTCTTGAACACTTTATTTTGGTATTGTACAATTGCGGTTTCATAAATATATTTTCCGCTATTTCTGTATCCAACAGGGGGTATGTAAAGCCTGTCCGATGAATAAGAATTTCCGAAATTGATCACGTAATAGCAAGGTTCTAAAATAGTAAAACTTGATTGTCTCCTTGAATTTATATCGCACTTGGCTATGCGAGATCCATTCTCGAACTTCCAACTAGTAGAAGAATGTAATGGTTTTATTGCCGCATCACTTCCAGTAACGAAAATACTTTGACCCAGAATTAGTGATACAGTCCCACTAGGAGTTAGAGTGATATCATTGGATGAATACAGTTCTAGTAATGAATATGAAAGTCGATATTAATTTCAGAGATAGAAGTAAATTTTGTACTTAATTCTATCACGCAATTTGGGGTGATATAGTCTTCAATAATTGATATGAATTATAAGCTCAGGCTATTGAATATTCATTGCTTACACAGCACCATTTCGGCTTTTAATACTGATTACTTGCAGTGCCGTGGACTTCTTAACTTAATATAGATAAGTACGATGTATATGAAAGAAATCATTACCTTTTTCACAATATTTTCCTGTAAAACCGTCGTTGCATGAGCAAGTAAATATTTTCCAAAGCGAATGACATACCCCGTTCTTGCAAGGGCGCCTTGAGCATGAGGTAATATCTATAATGAATCAATTGATTAAAAAAATTACAAAACTAATGGGCTTAAAAAAATCATGTCTTATTCAGTAAATAGAAAATTTTTCTTAATTTGTTAACCTGTTTGGCAATACTTTCCAGTTCTAGAACCTGGGCAAAGGCAAGCATCTCCATCAAGTCCATGATAACATGTCGATTCTGCATGGCATCTATTATTCGCACAAGCGGCTTTTGCTGAAATTATAATTGTACCTTTAGATTTTATCACAGTTGAATATGAAACTGCATACATTCTAAAAGAAATTAAGCTATAAAACATTGCTAGTTTATGTACATGAAAGCCTGCTACATGTAATTGAGAGCGTTAGCTGTTTCATAATAGCATATTTCGTATGTTATTTGAATTCATACCTTGATTTAAGTAATAGCAGGATAGAATTAAAACAGTGCTAAAAATCACGATTGATCGCATAATTACTCTTTAGTTAAAAAAACCGTAATCACTCCAAGTGGATAAGAGGTATCGCTGCTAGAGCTGGCTACAATGAGAAGAAAGAGATTTTACTAATAAGAAAATGAGGAATATTGCAAAACGTAAATTGTCCTCTATAATTTTCGATATTTACTTGATAATTTCAGGCTGAATTTCTAACTGGTCGCCAGCCGAAACATATAGATGAAAGTCATTAGCCACGGACGTGTTAAATGAATCCCGCAGTGAGTAGGCATTTATCCTTGTGAAGGCTTCTTTATAGGGAAATTTTAATTTACTTGAATCATTGACGAAGATATATATAGTCTTATATTCTTGATCTTCATGGATATCGATTCATTGACCACATTAAGATGCCTAAGTTACTACAGCATACCCAGTAAACCTTTAATTGGACCAATGATGCACAAATTAGGCATTAAATCGAATACTAAATTGGAGACTACTTCGATAATTAAAATGAGTAATTACTCGTACCTTTTTTTATAGATATCTTCCTGTTGTTAAACTCGTTATATAAACGCATAATTTATGGTCCAGTTAGAGAATAAACAGACATCGCAATGATACTTATCTAACCTTATTTATAAGGAAAAGTAACACGAATAGATTAATCAGGTAAATTGATTATTTATATTTGGTCATATTTCCTTTTATACCAACTTACAGTATATATATACCATACCATTACAGTCTATTACACAGTATATTGTATGCTTTGCGTTCTTATTTTGCCCAGCTTTAGCTATTTATAGAGCATAGATAATCGGATTTGCTATCTACAGGATAGCCTAATCGAACTTTGTGTTATATTCTTGCCGCGAAGATAACATATAATAACTGAAAGAACTGCGATATTAATAAAATTATTTTATTTAGATCGTTCAGTATCATCTCCGCTATATAATTTCTAAAGTAATGAGGTTTGCATAGTATATTCTGACCGTACTACGAACTTATTCATTCATTACCAATTTTCTATTTATTGAACATTTACTTAACTGCTTAATAATTAGGGATGCAAAGTCGTACAATAAATTCCCTTGATGTTAACCTTTGCAAGCTGATTGGAAAATGATTTTAACATATCTAAATGAAATCTAAGATTCGACTTTTGTGCCTACATCCATAATATTACCGCAGAATCCTATAGTATCATAATTATAATAGGCTTGCTTTAATTCTGTTGGAAGATTGCAATATGTAAGCCCTTCATTAGAAACTACTGTTAGCAATGAGCAAGGCCAGCAAAGCGGCCAGCAATCACTCTAGAGTACTACAATAAAGTTATGGCTGTGTTGTTGTTCAAATATTACGTAAACACCGGCGCTCTACAGTTAATAACCCCCAAAAGAAAGTTTGTCGAAGCTTTATTAACCTTTAACTGTTTTACTATCTTATTGATTTTCGTCGTTTCGGTTTATGAAGCAACTTACACGAATTTAAATTAGAATAAAACCGAAATATCTTAAAATAATAATTACAGCAATGACAGTACAGGCAGTATTACCGCTTGTGTAAACATTCTACACTACAATTGTTATTATACTGTACATACATTAGTTCAAAATTCCTTTACGTAAAAACTGTCATGCAAATAATGCAAGTTGAAAAATGTATCACAGCAATGTAAAATATACTACTACCCATATACTGGAACGAGGAAAGGTTTATGGGGAATTTCAAAATAAACCAAAATGGCATTTTGCTAGAAGATCAAGATTTCCATTCAAAGGATAACCTGTACTAATTCACAGTTCTACAGTAGTACTACATGGTTATGTTCGTCGGAAACTAAATCTACAACCAAATATTACGAAAGTGACAAAAAAGACTACCGTAGCCTCATATATAATAAAATCACTTGCAATGTGTTACGTATAGTCGAGCACAGCGTAAAATGATTGAATGTCAATTAATAAGAGGTAATTCCATGTAGAGTAATATTATGTTGAATTCTTAGTTCTACCCATTCCTTCCAACTGCTCTTTAAAATCCTGACGTTTATCTTCCGGTACACAACTTAACATCTCTTGCATTAATACGGCCATTTTATTCTTACCCCTAATTATAAAACATAACGGATTATTATGGCTTAATAATACCACATTAATCCCATTTCTTACTCTAAACAAAGTCATTCTAAAATACTCGATAGTGCACAACTTACTTATCCTTTTTTACACGTAGTTGTCTTTCCTGTAATAAAGCATACTTTCTTAACGCAGGATTATTTTTGACATCAATTTGTACTTTACTCTCCATTAATCATCATTGTCAATATGAGTAAAATGTATTAGATTTCTATCTTACCATTTTTTCAGTTTTATCCCTTTCATTTTCAGGTACAGTCTAAAAGGACGAAAAATAAAATTGCTTAATGGGATGAAGAGTAGAAATACCATAATTAATATTGCAGTACCTGCAGAAATTCTCGTAAGTTTGTTTCATACTCTTGCTTTCTCTGAATAAAGTAAATGTCAATATTTAAGTGGATGGTTAATGATGAGATAGGTATAGGTAATCTCTATAATTTAAGGTTATACCTTTTGCAATTCTTGTTCGTAATACGTCTTTTCTTCGGTAGATAAGTTATTCCACTTTTCTCTTAAAGTTACACCAATATCAGAAAATGATTTTCCTTTAACGTTATTTTTCTTATAAAAGTCACCAACAAATATGTTATATGAAGTCCTAAAAACAAATTTTTCCATGTTATAGCAATTACAAGCCGCTACCCCTGAGTACATATGGTACCATTGTTACAAAATTTTAGCTACAATTCTTAAGATTGAAAACTTACGCAGGTGGATGTTTTACAATGGGACGATACTTGGAAGTACTTTTTTCCTTATCAGTCAAGCGAAAGTTTGGCTCTGATTTTCTCATCTCCTTTATTTCATTCTATCCATGTCATAACAACGATGGTTTTAATTAACATCATTGGCCGAAATCTCTGATTAACATATGTAAGATAGCGCATACGCAACCTGATAGCGAGCAAGGTCAAAATTAGATGCTTTCTTCCATTCAATTGTCTGCTCATCGGATAAATTTTTCCATTCTTTGCTAATAATGAGACGACTCTCTTTCAATGATTTCTACGTAGATGTAGACGAGGTAATGTACAGTTTCATAAAGGTAGACAGATAAAGGATATTGTAGATATTCCTAACAGCAATATAAAAATCTCCTTGAGTTACGTACCCCTTCTTCTTTTAGTTCATTTAATCGCACGCGCAAGAAGCAATGGTAAGGAGAGCTTTAAATTTAAAAGGGTGCAATATATTAACAAATTCTGTTTCGTTACAGCTGTTGTAAGCAGTAATACAGCAAAATATTACCGTGGAGGGCGTATCTTCTTCTTTCTCTTAGGGCTATTATTGAAATAATAGTAAAAAATTTTAGAACTTGTGTGTATTTTTTTACAACATTAGTGTTTTAGCAGTATAGTCATAGACTCACGGTATGGTTTTACGTGATTTCTTGGGCCCCTTAGCAGTACTAACTCCAAGTCTATTTATAGAAACGATTGCAATTGTAATATTAATGGCTATTAGAATTTGACTAAAAAATGAAATTTAATCATCCAGTTACTTGGCCAGTGTTTCCTTATATACTTTCTCATCCTCTAAATATTTTTCTTGATATTTTTTCTAACGTAATTTACAAATGAAGATAAAAATTATCAACAATCAACCATGGCACGTAACAACTTCATTAAACAATTGAGTAACTACCTTTTTCTTATCCGGTAGATTTCTCCACACTTCGCTGATTTTCTTAGATGCTTCAACTGAAGTTATCTTTGATTGTTTACCGATTAATTTCTTCCGTCTTTCAGCATAAAACTGCAAGTATGCATTGAGAGGCTTTTTAGGTAAGTCATGCTGGCAATTTTCCCAATACTAAAAATTCAATATCACAGTTGAGATAAATGCAATAACTTTGAAAAATAAAGTATATGCAAGACTGTATTTCTGTGTTTTTTTATCATGGTGAAGGTTGCTTCGAAGATCTTACATCAGATCCAGTTCCTTTAATGGCGTTCACCATTTCATGGACAGATCGTGTTTTTCTCATCTTTTTAAGATAAATCGAGCAAGATGTTATTATACGTGGAGTGTATTGAAAAAAAATAGTGTAAAAAAGCGACAGTTGAAAAAATTTATTGATAGGCATTGTTAACTGCTTTAAATTATTTTACAAACATTTTTCGTTAGTTTTTTCCATTTTTCCATCAAATCTTCACCGCTATGGTTATTCCAAGCAATTTCATCCCAATTTATTTTACCGTTGTAAGGCATATTTAAAGGTGTAAGTGTGGCCAGACGTTCGAACAATTTTTCATATGTTTTACCACTCCATCCGTCTTCGTCATCTAATTTGAAAGAGTATCTACTTTATAATTGTAAAAATTAACAACCGCAAAAGCTAGTGATATCTACTCGAATATATGTATTTATTAACGATAGGAAATCGATGTTGGCTATAGCCTTTTAAAATTTCTCTTACGAATAGTTTAATTTCTTATACCGTACCACTTTTATAATAAAGTCCAGTATCAACTTTTATTAACATAGCTAAGTCTAAGTATACAGTATATGCCTATCATAGGCAAGTGACGGTAAATTATACGAGTATAGAGAGTTGACTATTTTGGCATTAAATGGAATAAAGCTGCAATTGAAATAAACTATTTATTTGTTACCTGAACCTGCAGCGCCACTCAAAGATTCACCTTGCGATGATTCACTGAAGCAAGATTAATTTTGTTATGGAAAAATGGGATATTTATTAGTATCAGTGTAACTTAATCATCTTTAATTCAAGTGTCATTTTTAAATCTCCACTAGTAAAATTTTCGAATCTTAGCACTATCGTGGTAGTAGATTAAAATAGGTACTACAGGGTAGTATTTACTTGCAACTATTGAAAGAGAGATATTTTTATGAATGATAATGTTGTCCATCTCTTTTCATCATAGTACATACTTTCCTTCGTTGCTATGCAGTGCGGCCTTGGAGTCTGATAAGCGTTTCTTGGATTTTTTTTCTTTGGACTTCTTCTTCTTCTTTTTCTTCTTTTTCCTCTTTTTCTTACCTGTAATGATCAATTAATTATTGTCTTTCAATATAGTATGTGTTTTATGATGGTACGATATTACCTTCATTGATTGATACTTGTAGCATTTGCAAATCAGATTGATAACGTATAGTATTAATGTAAATAAACAGAAAGAGTATTTACAAAAGATATTTCCAAAATAACACTTTTGGTTCTTGGGGATATTGTAGAGTTTAAGTAAGTGTCATCAATGCAATTTTGTACAACATTGCGATAGACAATTGGAACTAGTATCTATCAATAATAATTTACTGTAATGGGAACTATTTTAGTCTTTGCTATAGATTAGATAGAGTGATGATGAAGGCATAGCCTGCAACGCTTGTTTATTCTGTTACCTTCGGCATCAGCATCTCCTTTACGATTACTCTTGGTTATGCGCACTTTTTTGGCACCTTTAACCTCAGCTAAGTTGTTTACAAAAGTAGAAAAAAATGAATGATGATTTAATCCTTGGTAGGAGGCATTGAAGAATACTTACGAATCGATACAAGAATATTATTATTTATGAGTAAATCAAATTATTATCATGACAATCACTGCAAATCATCCTGATAGTGGTTTTATATCGTAAAGTAGGGTAAGCAACGTTGGATGTATCTCCATGTGTCAATCTCCAAGCTTTTTACACATTTAATTGTGTTTATGTACCAACCTTCATCAGTAGTACGTCGTTTTCTTTTTTTGGCTTTTTCCACAGTTTTCTTACGTTTTTTATCTTCGGAAATGACTAAATTTGTTTCTAGAATGTTATAAATAAAGGTTGATTTATTTTATTGCTTTTTTTTTCTCTTTGCTCTCATTAAGTACATCATTATTTTCAATTGATTGGATATCCACTATTCCATTGAGGGTGGAAGTCGTCCATGAATTACCGGCTCTTGGATGGACTGATATTATTATTATTGTTATTGAAGTACAATGTCATGGATAAGTTGGTGTATTGCGAATACATTGTTGCAAAGAAGCATGTTCATTTTATTAGGCGGCTGTGTATTGATGATTACAGATGGTTGATTGACTGGTATGGCAATTTAGTCAGAGTATGTTGGGACTCGTTGACAGTCGTTTATGACTTGATCGTTATTCCATCGTCCATCCTATACTACTACGACAATGTATCGTTTGTAGGTGATCGCTCGATAGCAACGCTTATCCCTGGTGTCTCCACGTGAATACAAATCAATGCTATGGTTATGGATTAAAAGAGCGGATTGCCACTGCAACTGCATGTGATGTTATACGACGAATAAGGGAAAATGCAATGGATGATGACTTGTTTCTTCCATGACGATAAAATGACCAAGACGATTTCAAGTCAGCATCGACAGGTAGAATACGATGACGACTTGCAATGGCTGTGATTGATCAAGGTCCATGACGGTCGTCTAAAGCAAGTCATTATCGTCCAGTATGATTCATTCCTTCATACCTAGAATAAGCTGGTGTAGACCATCCAGACGCTAGTATTACTGTATCATCACTCTCCTCCAATTGAATAGGATACAATAGATTGGAGTTTTAGTCGTGAAATGATTAGCTTAATTGATGCCACTGCATGGCTTTCCCCCACCATCATCATCAACGACATGGGAAAGTGCCACTGCAACAACTGTGGTAATGACTACCATTGCAACCAAGAATGTTGTTCTATCCAAGCACGCTACAACTCCTCTTTTCCAGCCAATAACAACATCAATAAAGTAGAAACAATCCTCATCCACTTACCTTCATCATTACTTTTGCTACTTTGCCTCTTTTTAGCTTTTCCAGTCGTTTTACTTCCTTGTCGATCAATTCCCGCCATGACTTGGACGACTTGATTTCAGTACTAAGCGCGATGCAATTCTTTTGCATTTTGGCGTTTTGTCTGACTACAGTCCATTGGTGGCTACAGTGGAATTGGATGGTGATAGTGATGGCTGCGATAGGCGCTCTTGTAGTCGACGAATAGAGTAGATCAACTAGTGTATAGAACGTACTATAGGTTATGATAGTTACAGTACTCTTTTGGATTCTTACAATCCTAGCACTGTAATACCATACAGTAGTGGGTCGCTAGACGTCCTCTCGCGCCTATACTCAACCACTTGCATCGTTGACTTGACTTGCCTCCAAGTGCTCTGACGCAGCTTCCACTAACTACTTCAGCTCAACATGGATACTTGGATAAGCAAATGCCTCAGTCAAGGCCTATTTTCCTCCCGATTGCTCGATAGATTTACTTTATAGTCTACTTTATATGGGCTAGTCATGGCTGCAAAACCTTGTGTCTAAACAGCATGTATATGGGCTAGATGGCTGCAAAACCTTGTGTCTAAACAGCATGTATATGGGCTTGATGGCTGCAAAACCTTGGTGTCTAAACAGCATGTACTGTATATGGGCTGGATGGCTGCAAAACCTTGTGTCTAAACAGCATGTATATAGGCTTGATGGCTGCAAAACCTTGGTGTCTAAACAGCATGTACTGTATATGGGCTAGATGGCTGCAAAACCTTGTGTCTAAACAGCATGTATATGGGCTAGATGGCTGCAAAACCTTGGTGTCTAAACAGCATGTACTGTATATGGGCTAGATGGCTGCAAAACCTTGTGTCTAAACAGCATGTATATGGGCTAGATGGCTGCAAAACCTTGGTGTCTAAACAGCATGTACTGTATATGGGCTAGATGGCTGCAAAACCTTGTGTCTAAACTGCATGTTGCAATAGCAATAGATTTACTCCATAGTCTACTCATATGGGCGAGTCATGGCTGCAAAACCTTGTGTCTAAACAGTACTAGTGCAAACTCCCGTCGCTTTGCTGACGGTTTACGATAATGTGCTCATTTAACAGATAGTATTACCATTTGTCGTAGACCTGTCAGAGGTTCAGTAACTTTATACCGTAAACAGCATGTTGCAATAGCGATAGACTTACTCCATAGTCTACTCATATGGCCGAGCCATGGCTGCAAAACCCTGTGTCTAAACGGCATGCATATGGGCTAGATGGCTGCAAAACCTTGTGTCTAAACAGCATATTGCAATAGCGATAAGTTTACTCCGTAGTCTACTCATATGGGCTAGTCATGGCTGCAAAACCTTGTGTCTAAACAGCATGTTGCAATAGCGATAAGTTTACTCCGTAGTCTACTCATATGGGCGAGTCATGGCTGCAAAACTTAGTGTCTAAACAGCATGTTGCAATAGCGATAGATTTACCCCATAGTCTACTCATATGGGCGAGCCATGGCTGCAAAACCCTGTGTCTAAACAGCATGCATATGGGCTAGATGGCTGCAAAACCTTGTGTCTAAACAGCATGTTGCAATAGCTGAAATGGAAACAATTTAGATCGATATTAGTCGGTTGTTTCTGTCTTGATCTGATTGGAAATGCAACCAACATTACGACAACATGTTGGATTGCATTCATTTACTATCGACAAGGCTAGTTCGAGCTGGTTTTTTTTCAGCTATCGCATGCCATTGGATTTTCGGAGATAGCAGAAACTTAAGCAAATAGACTGTCACTTTTTTACTGGTAATTTCGCTCATGTTGACTTAATTAACCGCCTACTAAATCAGGCAAAAAAATGAAGTGGTGGATGCAGCCATGGCAATACTCTGCCATACTGTATACTATAGGAGTAGAGTATAGACTGCAATATACTATTCAGTTCAGTATAACTACGTCCATGGCAATAGTATGACCAAGACTTTCTTCAGCGTACTATATAGGACACTTATGGAAACCTATACCATCCAATCATACAAGGTGATCAAACGGCTAAGCCTAGAGACGCTTTTAATACTCCCCGGGTGTCCACAGCATTTTTCCATACAAGGCAATAAATCTATTCGCCTTTCAAGTTCAAGTATAGAATAGACTATTGACCAGCCTAAACAGGACATACTCATACATGCAAGAGATCACGAGTAGGATGCTCCATTTGGGATACAGTAATCCAAAATGACTGATACTGACGCCAGCGAGAGACGTTACTAATGCTGAAAAAATGCAACCCCTAAAAAACTCCAATACAATAAGTGATATGGTATAAAGATGCATAGACTCTGAAATCAGTCCATATTCTAACGATACCAGCAAGGCATTAAATTAACTTAACCAGTGCAATGCATTGCAATGGGTACGTCTTTGGAGTGAAGAACGGGATTAAATCGATATATATGTATAGTATATAATTCATGTGTACTAGTTACCTTATGAGTATCACTAATTGCGATATATCCGTACGTTTATAACAATAACATGTATATATATAGTATATAATTCAGGTATACTAGTTACCTTATGAGTATAACTAATTGTGATATATCCGTATACTATCACCATATTAAGATGGAACACTGTAGCCTAACATAAAGTAGAGAAAATGGCTATTCAACACTGTGGGTTGGATTAGTACTCACTCTACAATGTACATAAGAGTAGTTTACCATAAATCAGTATAGTTGCACCCATACATGAACTGTCTTCTTTTTCTAAACCCGAAATCATGCTAGCATCCATTCAATACAACTCCTTGAGGTATCTTGCTAGCATCCATTCCAAAATGACTGATTGATACTGACGCCAGCAATAGACATTACTGATGCTGAATGCAACACCTAAAATCTCCTATACAATAAGTGATATGATATAAAGATGCATAGACTCTGAAATCAGTCAATGTTAGAACGATACCAGTAAGGCATTAAATTAACTTAACCAGTGCAATGCATTGCAATGGGTACGTCTTTGGAGTGAAGAACGGGATTAAATCGATATATATATAGTATATAATTCATGTATACTAGTTACCTTATGAGTATAACTAATTGTGATATATCCGTATATACAGTATACAGCATATATTTATGATTAATATCATTAAAACGTTGTACTACTATCACCATATTAAGATGTAACGCTGTAGCCTAACATAATGTAGAGAAAACGGCTATTCAACACTGTGGCTTGCTTATGGACTTACTCTACAATGCACATAAGAGTAGCTAACCTTAAATCACTGAAGTAGCGTGCATACAAAAACAGTCTTCTTTTTCTAACCACCGAAATACGCGGAGTTGCTGCTATACAGTACATCGTATATGGAAAAATTGCAGCAATTCGGTATTAGCTATAAGATATAATGTACATCATACAATATTCTACTGGACTATTGATAAACTATCAATATCCGTAAGCACGCAGAATTGCTGCTACATTGCGTGTATGAAGCAACTCCATTCATCAGCTATTAGCTATACCTGCAAAATGACAATGCGTATTGTATAGAACATACTACTAGACTATTGATAAACTATCAATATCCGTTAGCACGCAGAATTGTTATTACACTACCTATATGAAACAACTGCAGTCATCAGATATTCACTATAAAATAGAACGTCCATCATACAACATTCTACTACAGTAGACTATTTATAAATTATCAATGTCTATAACCACACAGAGTTGCTATTACACTACGTGTATGAAATAACTGCAACCATTAGATATTAGCTGTAAAATATAACGTGCATCATACCGTATAATATCCAACTAGACTATTTATAAAGGATCAATATCCGTAAGCATGCAAAACAGCCTCATATACGTACATATACGTAGTATATGAAGCAACTGCAGTCGTAAGATATTTAATGTAAAATAGAACGTGCATCATGACCCTAACCCTAACCCTAACCCAACATTCTACCAGATTATTTATAAATGTCAATATCCGTTAGTGAACAGAATTGCCACTATATGATGAAGCAATTGCGGTCGTCAGATATAAATCGTAAAATAGCATGCATATCGTATAATATCCTATTTGATGATTTACAAATTGTTGAATATCTCTAGATATCTGGAATCGATATTATACTATGAAATAATTTCAGTCATCAAGTGATAGTTTTATTCATATGCGAATATAATCTCTATCATAGTAGTATTTACATCAAACAACTTAATAGTAATCAGCGATACCATTATGGCCATAGAATTACAAGTTAGAGAAATATTTTTCTTTTCATACTTAATATTTTTTACGCCTTTTTATTATTTGTTTTTATGTCATTGAAATCCTTCATTACAAAAAATTTCTATACAGTGTAAAATCTTAATCCAACACAGAGATTGACTAGAATATTAAATTTTACCAAGATTTCCAATCTTGAATTCGTCTTACTAATATTTTTAGCATGCTACTGAAATGTTCCAAGTCAAAGATTGATCCAATCTTGAATTAATTTGAAATTAATATAAACAGTATTATATTTAACTTTACCTGCAGAATAATAGAACCTGCTTCTCAGGTTAACATTGTAAAGGAACATTCGCAAATACGGCACATCATTGACGATGATACCATCAGTAGCTCTTCCATACACGAAAGACATTAAAATATCCATCTTACGATTAAATTATTCTTCCTCGCACAGTATAACAGATAAGATATTAATCAGAAGATTGAACAATCCGCTAAAGATCGATTCAAGCAATAGAGAATAGAATGAAGACATGCTATGTTCTATACAAACATGTGCTGTATAAATAAATTCTTATACTTACAATCTACATAACAAGTCTCAACATTATGGATTTGGTCGACTTATAGTAGGGCACAATTAAATAATTTTTTTCGATATAAAAATTACTTCTTAATTGTTATGACTTGAACAATAGTACTTATTGCTTTAGAATTACGAAACATCCAAGCCGGTATATTCCGACGTAGAATAGCTCGAAAATGTTCATTACGAAATAAAATTATTAATGGATTAGCAATGCATGATATGTAGCTAAAA